TTGGAAACGCACCTTCCTCAGGAAAGCCTCTAATAACACCAACCCTACTTGATCCTTTTGAGTAGCCACCAATATTTTCTAGGTTTTATTGCTTAATTATGTCCTGTGGTATCTTCACGCCATTTCCCTGAAGACTATAAACTCCTTCATGACGAAGACACTCGACCTTTCATATCACTTAGTCTAAGAAGGAAACACGATGAGGGGACTCAGACCCACAGGCGTGGGTCCTGTCCTAGCTCTAACACTTAGCTACTGGACTAACACTGGTTCCAACACCTAGCTTAGTGAACCGCTCAGACTCAGTTCCTACAACTGTCAAAGGCGCTAGAACTACAAGGGGCAAAAGTCACAAAGACCTGCCCCTTTGTTGATAAGTGGTGAGCACACAAGTTTGCCTTTCTTCCCTGAATGGCTGAGGCCTTCCATGAATTACAGAACTATCATCCCTGATTAGCGCTTATTACAAGAGAAGAGGCACTGAATAATTACATAGATGGCTCAGTGGATAAAGGCGCTGCCAAGCCTGACGACAAGGGTTGGATTCCTTCGCTCCCACGAAGTGGAAAGAGAGAACTGACTCGTAAAAATTGCCTGCTCTCAGAGATCCTTTTGCGCGTGGTGGCACGCGAGCCCCACCCCCGCAATAAATGTAAAAGAAGAAAAATTACATCGATTCCAGAATCATATCCCAGGTGGAAGGCCACTCCACCCGCATTCGTGACAACCTGTGAACAGGAGGCTTGGAAAGAGCAAGACAGTGCAGTGCCTAAGAATGGCGACAAGCATAAACGTTTGTTGAATCAAAACAAACGAACACAAGTTGTCGCTCATTCATTTTCTCGAACACCAAGCAAGTCAAAAAAAAAAAAAAAAAAGTCAGAAACGCCCCACTCCGCCGCGCCCCCAGCCCAACCGCACCCTGTCCCGGAGCTCCAGGCTGCCTGTAGTCCCTAAAGTCCACTTGTCTCCAGCCCCGCCTCCGGTTGCCTTGGAAACAGTGACGTTTTAGGGGGCGTGGCCTCTCTCCATCCTCTCCAACGGCTTGAACGGCGCCTTAGCTCAACCTGGGGGGTGGGGAGGGGGAGAAGGATGAGGTTATAGTTGCTGGGTCCTCCCCCGCCCCTTAGGCGGGAGATCACTACGCACGCCAGTCCGCGCCCAGGAGAGCGCGCGCGTCGCGATTGCTCTTGACGATCTCGCCCAGGATCCGAGAGTGCGGACCGGGTCCCCGGGAACCTTTCCTTGGGATCTAGCAGGGTGGAGGTGGGTGGGGAGACTGGAAATTGCCGGCTTGGGTCCCCGAGAACCTCCCCTGGCGATCTAGCGGGAGTCTGGGGACTGTAGGCCTGTCCCCGGAAGCCCACTGCACCCTCCATCCTTGACGCTATGCGGGCAGCTCGGCTGGGCGCAGCTGTGTGCCTTCCGGGGCACCCCAGGCTCGCTGCGCGTCCTGGGCGCGGGCGGGAAGGGGTTAAACAAGGTGCCGGCGTGGGGCGCGGCGGGTGTGGAGGAGGGGAGCGGGGAGAAAGTGAGAGCGGGGGCGGGGGGGACCGGAGCGAAAGAACATCCTGTGCCGCCGCCGGATGCGAAGGGCGGGGGCGCGGGGGAGGCCGGGCGATGCGCTCCGCCCTGCGCTCCTCCTCCCGGGCGCTGCCCGCTCCCGCGCTTCACGCGGCGTCTCCTGGTCCCCACTCCTTCGCGGGTCATGAGCTGGCCAGAGGGGCCCCTCGGCTCGAGTTCCGCGGCCGGGGTAAGCGCGGGGAGTGTGGGATCTGCTGCAAGGCACGGGCGCCCCCCAGTCTTCTCCTCTGAGCACTGATGGGGAGGTGTCCCTTGCGCACCGATAGTATCTGCACCTTCTCTGGCCAGTCCTGCTCGCTGCATTTTCAGAGACAACACTGAAACGCTGATTGTGGAATTTGAGGAACCCCACACTGCGGGGATTAGAACCCCAATCGGTCGGACCACAAAGGGCTTTTCAATGGGTGTAGCGAAGACTCAAAAGCCCCTTAGCTGATAAGGCTCCTAAGAGATGGGCCGCGGAAGTGAAGAAGGCTTACCGAGTAAAGGCGTTTGCCTTCAAGCTTGACGACCTGAGTTCGATTCCCAGATCCCACATGGTGAGAGACCTACTGATTTACGTAAATTGTAAATTGTTCTCTGATGTGCCTTAGTACACGCATGCCCCGCCCCCCCCCGATAATTTAAAATTTGTGGGAGACGAACCTGATGACTTTTAACACAAGACAGGAATACCTCTTGAGTTGAACTCCTGGACTATCTAGAGTAGAGTCTGTCTCAAAAAACCAAAAGTAAGCCGGGCGGTGGTGGCGCACGTCTTTAATTCCAGTACTCAGGAGGCAGAGGCAGATGGATCTCTGTGAGCTCGAGGTCAGCCTGGTCTAGAGAGCAAGTTCCAGGACAGCTAGGACTGTTACACAGAGAAACCCTGTCTCAAAAACAAAACAAAAAAAAAGTAAAATAAATAAATAAATAAATAAAAGTGTTGTGGATAACAGATTTGCTCTACACCTTAGCCTCAAATTGCTAAGTACTCAAGGATGACTTTGAACATCTGATCCTCCTCACCCTACCTCCTGAGAGTGTTGGGGTTACAGATGTGCCCCCAGTCTGGTTTATACCAGCCCCCAAGAGAGCCCGGAGCCCAAGGACAGTGGAACTGACCCCTCTCCCGCCCACGCTTGGGTGAAAAAAATGAGGAAGTGGCTTTGGAGTTCCACAGGTGGATGATGGGCCTCAGGGGCAGTGGCCCAACAAAGTGGGCTCAGGGAATGTGCTTGTGGTTTATCACTAGTGCACGCCTCTAAGAGGCCTCATAGGGGACAGTTAGGCTTGCCACCTGCACCTGAACTGTGTGGATCCTCGTCGTGACCGGAGACGACGTGACCGAAGGGGACAGGCTGTAGCTTGGTAGGGCCCTTGCCTGTGTGTGGCAAATCCTGAGTTCAGTACATGCCAGAGGGGTATGGTGTTCCTCCTGTAAATCTAGCCTCTGGGGCAGACACGGGATCCCTCAGTAAGTTTGCTTACAAAACTAGCCTTATCTGAATGCTGTGGATTTGACTGAGAGACCCTGTCTTAATGAGGAAGGTGGGAGAGAGGATGGCGGCCAACCTGGCACGCCCAGGAAGGAGGAACTTCAAATGAAGACTTGCCTCCATCAGACTGGTCAGGGCCCGTGTCTGTGGAGCACTTCCTTGACTGCTGATTGGCTAGAAGGTGCCGGTACTAAACAGGTGGGAGTGGGCTGTGGGAAAAGGTTAGTTGATCATGAGCCAAAGAGCAAGCTAGAAAAAAAACATTCCGTGGTTTGTGCTTCCGTTCCTGCCTTGGTTTCCCTAAATGATGGACTGTGACCTGGAAGTGGAAGCCAAGTCGACTCCTTCCTCTCCAAGCTGGGTTTGTCACAGTGTTTATCACCACAGAAAAGCAAACTAGAAGCAGGATAATTCTAGAAGTCAGCCTTGAGCCTTCACGTGCATACACACACGTCCACACATAGGCCAATACGTGGTCTCATACACGGACACAGGTACACCAAACATGAACACATCAGAAAGAGGTGAGCATGTGTGCATAGGCTGTCAAGTGTGCAGAATCAGCTTGGTTGGGGGTCAGAAAAGGTGGGAAGGCTGGGTGAAAGGGTGGAGCAGGGACCTCGTCTTAGATCAGTCAAAGTGGCCTTTGAGTCTCAGGTGACAGTCCCCATCAGGTGGCCATTTTCCTGTCCTGAGTTGGCAGGAGTGATGGGTGATTCCACAGCAGTAGAGACTGGGCTCCCCTTTCTTGGTTCCTTGTTGCAGGAGTCCCTGGAATCGCCTGCTTGAAGCCAGGCAGATCTGGGGTGCCCCTGGTGGCTAGCGATAAAAGAGACAACCTGCCACCCAGGCAGAACATCCATGCTGGCGCCCAAAGGCTCAAGCCCAGAAGTGGGCCTCTGCTGCCCTCTAGTGGAACAAAAGGTACTGGAACGAGCCACCGCTGGCCACTCCAACTTGGCTCAAAGAAAAAGGAACTGGAGAAACATATGAATGAGATCAAAATACACAGCCCACACATATGAAGATGTCATAGTGCAACCCCTCAATTTAAACAAATATGTATGCTAATTAAAAATAAAACAGGAGCTGGAAAGATGGTTCAGTGGGTAGAGCACTTACCATACAAACACAAGGGCCTGAGTTTGCTCCCCAGTACTCACATAAAACATCCAGGCACGTTAGTGTGTGCCTGTAATATCAGCACTGGAGAGGTGGGAATGAGAGACTCCCCGGGGCTTATTGAACACCTAGTTTAGTCAAGTCAATGAGCCCCAGGTTCAGGGAGAGGTCCATCTGAGAAAAATATGACAGTAGCTAAGTATGCATGCTGTTCTTGCAGAGGACCCAACTTCAGTTCTCGGCACCCACATCTGACAGCTCAAAACCACCTGTAACTCCAGCTGCAAGAAGATCTGGTGCCTCTTGCCTTTGAAGGCACCTGATTGATGGTCACAAACCCACACACAGATGTAAGCACGTGATTGAAAACCAGTAACGGGGGCTGGAGAGATGGCTCAGTGGTTAAGACCATTGCAAAGGGCCTAGGTTCAGCCCCCAGCACCTACATGCTGGCTCACAATGCTAATTCCAGTGCCAGGCGACCTGATCTCCATGGGTGCACATGCATACATAAAAGCAAAACTTCCAGATACATAAAATGCAATCAATAAAATATGGTGGAGAGAAGCTAAAGAATTATGCCCGATATTAATCTCTGTCCAGCATACATGCGCTCAAACACACAGGCATTTAAAACTGCACACGCACTGACATTCAGAAACATGTTCACAAATGTACACACACCTCCCACACACTCCTACAACCAAACAGGCTGGGCATGGTGGTGCACACCTGTAACCAAGCACTTGGGTGGTAGAGGCAGGAGGATCAATCAAGGTCATCCTCAACAAAATAGTAAGAAGGAAGCCAGCCTGAGCTAGGTGATACTGCATCTCAAAAACCTAAAAGTGAGGAGGTGGAGAGGCACCTCAGGGGTTAAGAGCACTTGCTGCTCTTCCAGAGGACCCGAGTTTAGTTACCGGCACTCACAACTGGCCGCTCACAACTGTAACTCCAGCTCCGGTAGAGCCAGGGCTTTCTTCTGAACTCCTTGGGTACCATGTGCATGTGTGTACAGCACACATACACATACATAAAACACTGAAGCCGGGTGTGGAGTCTCACACCTCTAACTCCAGCAAGGAGAGGCAGAGGCAGGTGTTCCAGGTCAGCCAGGGTTACACAATGAGACCCTGTCTATAAATAAATGATGGAAGATATAGAAACAGGCAGTGATGAGCCCATGGCCTTGCCATGCCGAGAAGTGCAGTCTCTGAGCCCCACTCAAGCCCTCCCCCGCTTCTACCTCCGGAGTCCCTGGCTTCATCTCTGCAGCCTCCCAAAGCCGAGTCCTCTCTCCTTGGAGGCCCTCTGGCCTCTTACTTCCCTGAAGGCCACCCTTAACCCCATCAACTCCTGGGTTTTCTTTGTTGCCTAGGCTCCAATTCTAGTACCCTGGTTCTCGGCCCTGCCAGGGTTCTGGTTCCGGAATGTTCTCTGCAGGTACCCTGGGCCTAGCTCCCATCTAGACCACAGGGCAGCACTGGAGTCATGGGCAAGACCATTCCCCGGTGCCTGCAGCAACTGGACCTCCGCAAAAGCGTGGTGGGCCTAGCTACAGGCGCCGGGGCCGTTTACCTGCTCTACAAGGCCATCCGGGCTGGCATAAAATGTCAGCCGCCCCTCTGCTCCAACTCACCCATCTGCATCGCCCGTGAGTGTCCGGTCCCTGGGGAGAGGGCTCTGCCCCAGGAGGCACCTGCTCCTAAGGCCTCCCCTGGGGGAAAGCCCAAAGGTGACTCCTTCAAGCTGTTCTCTCACTTCCTTCTTTCTCTCCTCAGCTTGCCTCAGTTTCCCTCTTCTTCCCCAGCACCTGAGGCAAGGCCCTGCTATAAAAGATAGTTTTTTTTTGGGGGGGGGTCCCTGGATAGCAGAACTCATGGAGCTGGGCACCCATTCTGGCTCTCTCCACTCCATGTATTAGAAATGGGATCAAGAGCTTTGTCTGTCCTGCTGTCCCCCAGGAACTGGAGCTGGCGAGGGAAAGAAAAGAGGGACTTTCTGCTTCCCACTAGGTCATAGGGTACATTTTTATTTTATGTATTAGGGCAATTTACTTGCGTGAATGTCTGTATACCACCTGTGTGCAATGCTTAGGGACTCCAGAAGAGAGTATCAGATTGATGGTTGTGAGCCACCATGTGGGTGTTAGGAACTGAACCCTGGTCCTCTGGAAGAGCAGCCAGTGTCCTTAACCCCTGAGCCATCTCTCCATAGGGTACTTTTGTGCCATCAGGGAAAAAGGGTGACTTCTTGGAGATGGTTGTCATCTGCCGGGTACCGGGTATCCGGCGAGCCTGTCACGGCTACACACGGGGAAGGTTGTGGTTGTGAGCCAATGAGCAAGCGACAGGACAGAGGGCACAGGAGTCGTGGTCCTCTCCCAGAGCCTAGTCGGTGCCGCTAGTGCCTGAAGGGCTGGGCACAGCGAAAGCCTTCATTTTAGAGCAGCCTTTGCCCTCAGCTCCTTCCTCCCCCTCCCCTACTTCCGAGCCCATCTCCTGAGCTGTGGGCCTGGTGCTGTCTAGGCCTGGCCGTTGAGAGAGAGCGCCACGGGCGGGACTCGGGAGAGATCCGAAGACTCCTTAACTCGTTGGAGTGCAAACAGGACGAGTATGCTAAAAGCATGATCCTACACAGCATCACCCGCTGCGTGTACCTGCTGGAGGCTGAGGTGAGGAGAGGAGGCGGCGGCGTTCCAGTCAGTCTGGCCCCGCCTTCCGCCTTCCCAGTCAGTCGCCCCCCCCCACCGGCTCACAGCCCAGCCCTACCCCCCCCCCCCCCGGCAGCATCCACTGGCGGGGGGGGGCAGCGGGAGGTCTCAGAGACTTGGGAGACAGTGGACCCCCCCCCCC